ACAGGTCACTAGAGGATGAGGATGTGTTTAGAATATGGAAATCAAATAAAAGATTTTGATAATATAGATGATCTCATCAATACTTTATTAGGTCGTGCTCAGTCTTTTATTCGATCTACTTTGTGCATGACATAAACTCCCAATCTTTTAGTCAGTTACTCGTGAAAAAGAAGAAAATGACGAAAACTAAAGAAGAGAAAAAAAACACATAATAATCACAACATGCTCATCCGTCTTTTCTACCTAATGGAACAAAAAAAGACTGTCTTGTCATTGGAGGCAAGCTCGTGCTTGTCAGTTAATTGTTATTTTAGATGCTACATCTTCTCGTTTATTCTCTTTTGTAGTAAAAGTGGTTGTTGTTGTAGCCGATGGCATCGTTCTCATCAAGCACGCGCACTTGGAGTTCATTCATTTCCGTTATGCTAAGAGAAGATGACTTGTTTCTGTTTTCTTTCTTTTTCCGAGCAGATCTTCTTATCTTTCTAGGTCCATAAATAGCTTGATACATCATTCGTTTTTTTCCTCTTATTATCTATCCATTATTTGCGAAAAAAAAATCAAATAAATAGTTTTAAAAAAATAAGGAAAAGCAAATATTAAAAATTATGTCATATGCTAGCTGATTGATTTTTGTCAATACAATAAAAAATTGCTCGATTATTAATATTTGGTTGCAGACTAAATAAAAGACGAAAAAAAAGAGAATTGATTTTCCTATAACGTTTGACTATGATATTTATAAATGAGCTAATTATTACTGTAAAGTATTCAAATTAATTATTGAATGTAAATTGATAGAGATTAAGATTGAGTTTAATTAATAATGATTTTGGTTGAATCAGATTGTATAATAATCAATAATCAGTTGCTGATGTTTATAGTAATGCTTGTGTATATTTCATAATGGCTTTATAAGAATATTTATATGGAAATAAGTATTGAAGGGAATTATTCTTGCGCGTGAACAACGATGATCTCGTGTGACCATTATTCTCGAAAGAAGATTACTTTAACAGAAATAGAGATAATAACGAAAAAAATATCAATTTTATAAGCAAATTGTTGTTTTTGTTTTTAAAATATGTTGAGATAGAAAAACAAAAAACAAAAAAAGAAAAAAAAATTTTTTTTAATGTTTTATATAATGAATGTAAACATAATATGGATAGGAATGTTAGTTTCCTCTTAATAGTAAACGATTGATATATGTAAATGAGAAAAAACAATGTCAAAATTGTTTATTCACTCGAAAAAAATAAATTACGAATATGATATGTTTCACGATGGATGTCAACATGAATTTATTTTGATTCTATTCAAGTTAGAATCTTGAAAACTTAGTAGAATAGAAACTATAAATTTCTATTAACTTTGGAATATAATAAATATATTCTGTATTGTCTAACCTCTAATTCATAGACTCTATATGTGACTTTATAATAGAATATTATAAGGAAATTTTTAACTTCCGTTCACTGTCTTGTTTTTATTTTTTCTTTCATGATTACTACGCTTTGTAAGTATCGTTTTAAACTAATTGTTTTCTTTTATTGTATCAAAATTATAATGATTCATAGAATTATTTTGATTTAAGTATATGAAAATACATTAATTGCGTATGACTAGACAGGTATCAAAATTTGATTGATATACCTTTGATCTAGTAATTTAATTGCTCGATGAAAATCATATGAAATTCACAAATTTTTGATACGAAACAGACAAAAAAAGAGCACTAAAAACAGAAGCATGGCTATGCATAAAATTAACGAATGAAAGAGAAAAAAAAACAATATAGAGAGGATACAGATATATAGAAAAAATAGAAAAGTCAGTGTATCGGCATATTAATGATAATGACTATTTGGGTGAAATTGCTTTTTCTTTAATTGAAATTCAATGCCTGCCAAACAACAACAAACAATGATATTCTCTTGTGTATTGGGTACTACACAAATAATGCAGTGCTAAGCTAATAGGTTTCATTTTGAATGAGGAATTTGTTACAGACTTGAATTTTCATAGACTAGCAGTAAATAGTGCAACGATCAAAAATGACGTCCGAACTAAAATATTATCGATACATTATATTTTTCAGCACCCAATAATCTACAAAATTTTTACCAACGCATGAATCATAAAATATCAACCTCTCACGAAACAGCTGTTCCAATTGATAAATTGTTTTTCAGTTTGGATTTTGCATATATGGTAGACTCCAGTGAGTTATGAAAGACTACAAAAAGATAAGCGTCCTTAGGCCTTCCATACAGAGTTCTAGTCATTTTACTAGATTTTTAACTTATAGAAACGGTATACACAAGTATATAAAATGGTGGCATTTCGATCTGAAGTATTGCCCGCATATATGCCTGCTTGTAATTAGAATACTCTAAAGATTTCAGCTCAAAAGAATATTTCATCAAAGAGATATTAAATTTCCAAAAAATTACTCATATCTCATTAAAAAATGCGAGAATATTATGCCTTTTAGAAATTTAATATCTTGAGAAAGAAATATTCTTTTAAGCTGAAAATATCAGGACATTTTAATTACAAATAAGTTTATTTGGAAGCAAAATTTCAGGTCAAAATGACACTATTCGATGTTCTTTTGTATACCGTCATTGTAAGCTAAGATTCTAGCAAAATAGCTATAACTCTGAATCGAAGGCTTAAGGGCGTTTATCTTTTTGCAGTCTTTAGTAATTCACTGAGATCAATTATATGCACGAAGTTCGAACTCAGAAATGATTTATTATTTAGAACTGTTCCCTGGTCAGTATTTATTTAAATGTAGTTCGATAATATTTCAACTTAAAGAAGCAAGCTTTCTTTTGCAAAAGATGTGCTTTTTATTTCTCTACAATCTTGTATCGTTCAGCTGTCATAATGATATGAATTTATTTGAAATTGAAAACTTTCGACTAATAAGTATTTCTTCTAGACACTAATTGTTGAGTCAATGTTTTTTGTTTTTTCATGTCACTTTGCTTTAACAAACTAGCGATGTGTAGATATTTTGAAAGTGTCAAAGTCAAATTATTTGTCTTTGAATACTCATTATTGCTCATGTACGACAATCGTCCATTATGCTATTGCTATTTGTATGTAAAGCTTGCAGTGTGGCTTTATTTGAATTTAACAAAATTTTCAATAATATATAAAGTTAATTGATAGTATACAGTTTCTCAACGTGTTTCGTGCAATATATGTCTATTCCAAAAAAACAAACTCGATACACAGATAAGTTGTTATTTTGAGAACCTTAAAAACAACCCCATTGACAATTTCAAACAGAGTAGAAATGCAAATTTTTGTGCATGTTACTTCATTAGTGATATTTATGTATCGTTTGTTGATTAGAACTAACGTGGACATATTTCCACTTGTCTAATTGCTTTTCATTTGAGACTAGTGCCATTTTCTAACTTTGATATCAAAATTTGAGATCTTCAATTCAATGTTGTGAATCTTCTTCATGAAGCTGTTACATCGATTGTATCTTATATGGCTTCATCAATGGATATTAAATCATCATTCGACTTGTTACTGTTCTTGGCATAAAGCAGACTATTTCAACCATCTCAATATTTGATAGTGGTTTATTTTCACAAGCATGATGAACTTCAACAACTTTCTCTTCTGTAATTTTTGAAGGCCTTTCAAATTTTAGTCCAGTTACTACTATCATGATTTCGACAAAGCAGTCCTAGTATAGCTCATGCCTAATATTTGTAGGCTTAAATCGACTTGCATTTTGCTTTTACAATGATAAGTGACATCGGCTTCAACAAAATTATTGCTATTCTAATATTTATAAGCATAGACATTTATCTGAAAATATACAGAACATAACTTCAAAGAATATACTATGATATCCTTAAAAATATATAAATCATTTGAACTGTTTAAGGTACTAGGACAATTCATTGCAGGACAATTCGTCGTGGACAATTCGTTGCACGGACGATTCGTTTCACAACAATTCGTTGCAATGACATAAGCCAATCAAAATTAGTATCTATTTTTCAATAATGAAACAACTTATTCAATTAAGTTTGAAACATGTAATTCAATGGCCATACAAATTATTAGAAATATTACTAATGACTAAATTTGGATTTTTGTTCTCGAACAGTACAATAGCCTTCTTGTGCCGATAAAAAGTTAGTTTATTCGAGCTATACAAGTGATGAATGTTTTCCTATACCAGTGGAAGTAGTAATGCACACTTTTTTAATTGATGCTGCAGTTCAAGATTTCTGACAATGAGAACATACCTTGAAAAAACTAACAAAATTTAGCGTTCATTGAAGAAGAACAGCATTGATGTCATTAAAAAAAAAACTTGTAATGAATTTCTATTTTTAAATCTTCGCATTTGACGTACAAATTCTGTTATGTTAGGGAGTATCACCTGTTATTTTATATATTTAAAATGAAACTAGCCGGATTGAGTCGTTGATTTATGCAATGTCAGAAATAGTATTGATGATACTTCGTAATCGAAGGTTTTTTACATCCTATTGACATTAATTATGGAGTAGGAAACGAATCCGATTTTTTGTCTTACTAGGATTCTTTATAGTGAACATCTCGAAATCAAAAATCGAAGTTTAGTCATTAGTAATATTTCTAATAATTTTTATAGTCATTGAATTAGATGTATCAAACTTAATTGAATAAGTTGTTTCATTGTTGAAAAATAGATACTAATTTTGATTGGCTTATGTCATTGCAACGAATTGCTATGTGATGGATTGTCCAGTCACCCTGTTTGAACATTATGTATGTAAATTTTTCCTCTGAATTTTCTAGAGATCCTGTATGTCTTAATTTAAAAATAGCATGTTAAAATGAATTGATTATTTCTTAGAATAATTGACTCAAGAAAACGCAATATTCAAAGATAACTCATAACTATGTACGAAGGAGCGCTTTTAATGTAACTAAGAATAATCTTTCATTTTCCATCATTTTTTTTTTTTTTGAAAATGAAAATTTCTCATCAATTAATTCGTTCAGTTCTTCGAATTCTTCATTGTCTCGGAGCATTTTTTGGATTTTTTGTATTTATTTATGAATTATTCATTCAACGTAACATATTATACGCCATATGTTATGCTTGTTATCTTCTTTCAACTGGTGCAATACTTTATCTTTTATTTGCTCGTAAACGACCAAATAGTCGATTTGCATATGGAACACTTTTTGCAATGATTTTTGTTACGATATTATTTTTTCTAAGTGATATTTATGAATCACTGACAATAGTTTCTCAAATAATTAAAGAACTTATTGGTCATATCGAACAAAATAAAGATATAAGTCCATCTATAAAAGCTATAATTGAAGTTAGCAAGTTAGTTTGAAATAATTTATTTTTTAAAATTGATTTTATTATTAATTTTTGCATAGATGTTGTTCAATTAATGATGAAAAACATACAAAAGAAAATTTTCAAAATTTTCAAACAAAATATCCTGATACCTGTGGTAATATTCTATTTGATGATGCAAAATCATGTTTACCATTTATTCGTAATCAAAGAAGTTTAATGATATTTGTTGATTGTATTACGATTATTTTTCGTGTATTAACATTATTTTTATTATGGAAATATATCAAAGATGAATATAATGATCATAATAATGATGAATCGATGAATTTGTCACATGTTGATGGAGAATATTCAACAGGAAATGTTATTGCTTAATGAAATATAATTTCGAAAAATATTCGTTCTTCATTTGTAGCCTTTTGTATTTTCAATTTGTTTTTTTTTTGTGCTAATAGTGTTTGAACAATACCAACTAGTTTGTTTTATTTTCGATATATAGTAAGAGTTACAGTTCCTTTAAAAAAATCAACATACAAATTTTATGTCGATTTTTTCCAGTAGTAGTGCTTCTCATAAAGAATCCAAATAGTGGCTTGAATAGAAAAAACATTTTTCAATAAGTATTCGAAAAAAACATTCACATGATTCTCAAAATCCAGAATCTTTTGAAAGCCCAACGCCTAATTTTACGGCACATCGAACTCAAAAATAAAACTTGCTATTGATTACACAGAGCAATTAATTCTCTACGAAATGAGATGCCTCTGCGCTCTGTAGGACATTTTTTGATGAAACTACATCGATATCAAAAAAGGTCCAAAAATAGTTTTTCGCCATTGACAAAAAGAAACACAAATTTCGCAGTTCACCTTCGACAACGCCTAAACGTCTTGATTAGGTTGTGAATCCACTGATTAGGATGTAGGTATAGACATGAATGTGAGTATTCATTTAACCTAAATCAAATTATAAAGCTTTCGACAATTGTCTAGAAACAGTACTGCAAAAAAAATGATATCCACGGAAAACTAGACGAAAAGGGCTTTTGAACCTCTCTTATAATTTATGTAATTCAGTAGAAAAATGTTGTGGAAAGCTTGGAGATGTATCATTTTGTAAAGAAGTAGTCTCTCTATATCATCAAGAGAAACTTATTTTCAGATTCTAGAGGCTGGAAAAATAGATTTAGTGTTTTCCAGAGATCTTAGATTTTGGGAATGGTGTGAAAATTTAATTTTTATGCACGTAACCTTTATGAAAAAGATCGAAATTAACCCTTTTATTCTTCATGGTTACTGGAGTGATCATTAGAAGAAAATCAAGTAAACATAGAATTTAAAAACTTAAGAGAACTCCATAAGCTATCAATTAATAAACAAATATTTTGTTTTATTTTACTACATCTTCGAAAACGATGCGTTACAAGATTGATAAGTTTGAAAAAAAATGTAAAAGTTCAATTTTTTAAATACTTTTCGGATGTTTCACGAAATCTACATAGGAAAGACACGGCAAAACACAGAATGGTCACTACAGGTTTTTCGAAACACCAAATCTTTAGTTTTGTAGTGCAAAAACTCTGGCCTAAGATTTGCTCAAATCACACGAAATGGTAAGACAAATCATTCTCTACACAATGAGATGTCCTTAAGCTCTTTACGATGTTTCTTTTGTCGAACTAAATCAGATTCTTGAACGATCTCAGATAGAACTTTGTCAAGTCACTTTTTTCGCAATAACTATTAGAGTGCATCTGTTCGATTTATTCATGCTATCGATATGTGGAAGACACCAATATTCTACTACAATGGTTGTTTCATTAGTGACTCTTCTAGAATCGCTAGGACAGGTAATGAATTAAATTTATATGATCAATCGTTGAAGTCACTGTATATTATTAATGATCATGTTCAGATAAGTGATTTGAATTCTTTATAGATGGTATGTATTTGTATATGTTACGGTCAAAATTGGAATTTGGTCAAATTCTAAATTTGTCCAGACAAAATTGGAATTCTAATTTTGACCAGACAAAATCAGAATTTTATTTTCATGAACTGTAAAACTGAGAAAAAAAGCAATACTACGAATACGAGTGGAATCAAAAATGATGGTGAAGACGAGAGACAAGTCTGAGTAAGAGTGAAGAGGTCTGAGTCTATATCCCGAGGTTGCGAGTGAAATTAGAGTGAATAATCGCGTAAAATGTTAGTCTTACTCAAAGATTCATCCTTACTAAGACATTTCTCACTCTCATCAAGGCTACCCGCGGCGATCTTACTTAAAACCCTCTTCCTGACTCTCATCACCATCCTTGACCTCATTCATGTTTTAGGTATTGATTTTTGCTTAGTTTTATAATTCATTAAAATAAAATTCTAATTTTGTCCAGTCAAAATTAAAATTCCAATTTTGTCCGGACAAATTTAGAATTTAACCAGATTCCAATTTTGACCGTAACATATACATACTAAAGAACAAGAAAAGATAGAATAATACTATAGAACTAAGTAGAAAAAAAAACTATGTTAAAGAAAATTTCAAATAAGTCCAGGAATAAATGCATATGGTACGCGTTCACAATAAGTTTTCCAATCTTTACCATATTTAGCTTGACATCGAGCCATATCACGTGTATAACGATGAACAATCATGAAAAAAAAGAATATTGGATAAAAATATGGTAGAACACCAGTCCATTGATGACATGATAATGCCCAACATGTTGCCATACATATATCAGCTGTATATGCAGGTTTGCGACAATATTTCCAATAACCATCAATCAATAATGGTGAACCACATTCAGTTTTTAAATATGTAGGATTTTTTATTTCATTCCATGGAACTTGTGGAAATCCATTGCGTGTTATATATATTCCTTGTTGTTGCATACGAAAACGAATTTTTTGTGATAGAGAAGAATCCCATATATAATAAGCAAGAATAAGTACAATAAATAATATGATGATTAATGTCATTGATACATTTTCATTAGGTTTCTGTGTACGTAAACTATTCACAAGAATATAGTATGCTTGAAATGCATAGACAAATGGAACACCAGCTAAATTCCAATAGATTAACATCCAACCCCATTTTTCATAAAATATATCCCAAGTTACAGGAATACATTCTTCACCTTTCATACAAGCATTTATATAAAGTACTTGAGCTGTTAAAATAAATATCATTGGCCATGTTATTGTATGAAATACTTCATATTGTTTTAATACCGCAGATATAATTAATAGAAATAATAAAAGCCATGATAAACGTACTTCAGCTATCATTTTAAGATCAACATCTTGTCCTAAAATTCGTATACGTGGATTTAACCAAACTCCTATAAAAAAATCATATATAGGTGAATATGTCATTCGACATGTTTGATTTGTTTTTAAAGCATATAAATGAATATATATTGATAAAATATCACTAAATATAATAGCTATACAAAGTATTGAACCAAATTGATCAGCTAATATTGTCATTGAAAATATACCAGTAAAATGACATACAGCAACAAGTATTAATGTTAAATACCAACTAGCTAATGCATTACATTTATATGTATATTGTCGATTATTTTCTGTAGGGACAGGTAAACCTTTAACTTCAGGACCAGGTAAAATAGCAGCAAGTATAAGTTGTATAAGAAAAAATCCAATATAAAGATAACAGGCCGACCATGTTGGTGAACATGTTTCTTTAAAATTTTCTATAAATTCATTAAATGATAATGGAAAATAAAGACCACCGGAACTATATCGTAATGAGAGAGCAAAATAAAATGGTATAAAATGAGAAAATATCATTAAACCAATCGCTCCTGGTGTACCACCAAATTCTTTTTGTTCTTTACTCATTTTTTGATTATGTAATTCGTCTGAAAAATACGTAAAAAGAAATCTAAAACCGAAAAAAAGATATTGAAAAAAAAATAAAGATTTTGCCCTATGGGGCTTTTTTTCGATAAGTACATATATTCCATCATCAAATGATAGTATTAGTAAATGATGACTTATTAAGACATTAGAAATATTTCGTTAGTTCGCATTACCATAGTTTTAATCTAAACTCTTCTTGTTTTTGCAATAAAAAATTATTCACGGAAAAAAAACCAGTGCTCTTTTTTCTTTCATTTTATCTTTATTAACTTATTCGTTTGCTTCAAGCACGATCAACCCATACTCACGCCATACAAAAATAACCTTTTACCTTTGAGTGCTTTCTGTCGATACATTTAATATATTTTCGATAGATTTATTTTTATCGTAATATTCTGCCATACATACTATAAAGAGATTACAGAAAGGCATTGTGTACCATATATAAATAACGTTATATACCTTCAGGATGATCCAGATGGTAACTAAGTCATCAATACTGTTTTGTTTAAGAATATATAAAAACTTTTGAACTTTCACACTCATAAAATTTCGTGAATAGTGCAACTAGACTGATTTTTTTCCATACACTAGAAGGCTGGTGAATTAATAATAACGATAAATTTAACACTAAAAAGTTATTGAAATATTTAAAAATCTAGACTTTTCTTCTTTTTTATTTTAAGTAAGAAGTATTTGTCAGTATAACTGATGTCATTGTATCTTTTTTGTTCTTTTCAATATGAACAAAAATAACTCACATTCGTGATCTTGATCAGTATCAATTTGAGGGTGCAATATAGCGCAGCTGTTGGACGGTTGTCTTTTGTGTAATTCACTTATATTTCTTTTTCATTATTGTATAGAACAAAATATTTGCGACAGCTATAGTATTTTTATAATCTTTTCTTTTACTTCATTCATATTATCATTTATTTGAAATGTAAAAAAGAAACATGACAAGGACAATCATTATCATTAATAGAGGAAATGTTTTCTCAAATACTTCGGAACAATCGTCAAAATGAACGTCCGAATATCATCAAAATATGTATTTTTCAGAAAAAAAGCAAGTTTTTTGAAAAACGCTTGTTAGTGTAATTGTTTTGGGGTTGAAATGTAGAAGTCGCATATATTCTTTAGCCTCATGTTACTAATACTAAATACTTAAAGTGGAAAATCTCTCGTAGACTTATATTTATTTTCGAAGATGATCGACCGCTAGAGAAGCGATCTATCGTATTTATTTCTTCGGTGGCAACAGAAATTACTCTATCTTTTTTTTGTTTGCTTTGTTGCTATTTTCACATTGTTTTTCTCAATCTAACATTATTATTATTCTAGACATTGGCAAATAAGTCTGTTGTACACATCCATTACACATACGATAGATTTCAACAGACTATTATATGGGTCGATAACCTTTAAATCATTAATTTTAATTATTTCCGAAAGTTCTAACTAGATCATTTGGTACCTTTTTTTATGTTGAACATATGACAACTATGGCATATTAATGCATAACTACTCATCATTATTGACATTCTGAGTATAAATTTTTATTTGTGAAAAAATCAAAAACTGTACTATTGGAAACATTTGCAAACATAATTCAGCTATTGCAATATCGAGGAAGACTTTGAAATATTCAAGAGATCTCTAGAACAGTTTAAGCCTTGTTGTTACTGCCACTGAGCACCTTTTCTCGTCGTTCAGGAACTTCCGAGAAAAAGTCCGATAACTGTTGTATACTAGATGGCTAGAATCTGTCATGGAGAAAGCCATACAACTTCAACTCAAAAACTTACATACACTACTTTATTCGAGAATATGTTTGAGTTTCACAAAATTATTACCTATGCTAGTAAAGAAGTCAAAATCTAGGCACCACACTGTTATTGACAGACTTTGTTAATGTATGACCTGTGACAGTATATGAATGATGTCTCATTGTAATGTATGAACAATCTTCTTATTACATGTCTCGTAGATTAAGTAGAAGGAGGGTGAAGTAATGTAACCAGAATATAGCAATCGCCTTGTGATTAATAACAGCAGCTACATCGTATTTACCATTCTAACTCCACAAAAATTACACTTACAGATTTTTCTTTTATTTTGGCATTGGTTTCTTTTAGATATAAATCAAGATCATCTGAGTTCTTATACAATTTTATTTGTTATTTATTTATGAAATATGAATTAATTTCCTAGAGACTTTGCTTCACTTTTCTTTGTTGTGTTCTTCTAATATTCACCGATTTGTTATTAAAAAGTCTATTATTATTATCAACGAAGCTTACAAACAAAAAATGATTGATTTTCGTGTTTTCAAATAACATAAAATAAAGCATATAAAAAAAAAATAATAAACAAACAAACATAACAGTTTTAAGCACATACATCAATTTATACTACATGAAGTATCTCTCATTAAAAATAAATAAATATCGAAAATAAATATATTTTTTCCAATTGCTGTTTTCTGCTTATTACTTAATCCAAAGACTAGATTGGTAATTGATGTCGACTGGCAAATACATAGGAATGTACAGATCCATCATTAGTACCAAAAAAAAACATTCCATCATTATATGTTATTGCTGTTATACTTATATTATCCGAAATATTTAATGTATGAACTTTTTCACATATTTTTAAATTCCATACATCACATGAACCATTTATTAAACCAATAATTAACATTTGTGATGAATAAAATAATGAATTAAATAATTGTTCATCTGATAAGCATGTGTTTGTAAATACATCTGTACCTGATATAATATCAATTAATGTAACTGTTTTTGATGTTATATATGCAAGAAAAAGACCATCAGAACGTAATGATAATGATAAAATAGGTAATGATGATGATGATGTTGATGTTAATTGTTTTAATATTTGTCCAGTTTGAAAATTACATATATATATTGAACCATCTTGACAACCAACCGTTAAAAGACTATGTTCTTCTAATACGTGCATACAAGTACAAGATGAATCAAATGATATATCATATTGCATTTGTATAGTTGATGATAAATGATAATTTGTTTGAAATATATAATTATCATCATGAATATGAAGAAGATTTTCTAATGACCAAAAACGTACAGTTGCATCAATTGATGATGTACATAAAAGTGTTGGTGTTGATCGAGTTGTTATATATAAATCAGTTATAATATCATCATGTAAAACTTGTGATAATAATGATGTACCTGTTTCTAAATTATAAATATATAATGTATGATCATAACAACCAATAAATGCTAATGAACATCGTTCATTTGTATTAATCGATGAATGTACTTGAATTGATTTTAAACATGTTAATGGACGTGATGATACAAAATAGAATGTATCAATTTTACTTTTATCAACCATATAATTACGTAAAAACCCATCCTCACCTATTGTTAATAAATGTGTTGATGGTAATAATGGATGTGGTACAATACGTTTAACAGCTGTTTTATGTAAACGACAAACAGAATCAAATTCAAATTGACCTAATTCATGTTGTTCAAATAATGATAATGATTGAACTCGAGGACGTGCCGGTTTTGATTCTGTATCATCAATATTCTTCTCAATTGGAATCGATGGAATATCAACATGAACATCTGGTTTTTGTTCTTCATCTGTGATAAATAATATCAAAGTTTTAAAAAAATTAAAAAAATCGAATTTAACCTAGAGAGATTATGAAAGTTAGTTTATTTTTGGATTTGTTCGAATTTCAGAACTTATAAAAGTAGTGGCGTAGCCAGGGGTAGGGCCATTGGGCAATTGCCCATAGCTTCAAAAGTTATTGCCCATGGATTTATTCAGCTATGCAGTACTTGAACAATTATTGCCCATAGATATTTTTGAAGTCATAACGATTGCCATTAGCTGCCCGTAATTCAAAATAGTTCGGCTGATGAATTGCTCATGACTGAAAAATTCCTGCCTACGCCACTGTATAAAATATTTTTCAAATGATACAAACTGCCTTCTTGTAATAACAGACTATAGTCTTCTGTTATTGAAGTTCTACGTCACTACTCAAAAGTTACTTTCTATTACGGACAAGGCTTTTAATAACTTTTATCTAGAAAATCATAGACTTTTGAAAGATTTTATGTGGCATTCAAACAGGTGTTTATGCAGATCAGTACTGGAAAACTAGGGCTTTACTGAGGAAAAAGGGTCATATTAATTACTAAAGGATGACTTTTTACTGAGGGAGAAACAGCGAACTTCAAGACTTCATGAGACGTCGAGACTAAAGTCTCTATTGTTCCTTCTTGTTTTTCACTCAAAAATCAAATTTTGAGTAAACATATGCAGAGCTACTCTGTTGTACCCTCAGGAATGTCATGAGATCATCAAGACTGGAGGGCCACTAGTGAGAATATAGTGTTCATGACATTGGGAAGATGGGTGATCCCTGTTGTAGGGATTAATAAGTTAAAAATGTTGAAGAAAATCATTCAACTTCGCTGAAGAATAACGAAAGTTCTCCAATATTAGGGATTACTTTTCTGCTCGAGACTTTCCAGCAGGATGAGATAAAATAAGGTTAGAGAAGAGTGGAGGTTTTTCCAGAATAAGGGTTAGAAAATTTTTCTCAACTAGGACATGCGGTATGACAAAAGATTACTCTGCACATCTCAAGTTTCTAAATATTAAACCCACAAAGAACTTGCAAGATTTCTTTAAAAGCTTTTAGAAAACCTGTGACCTTCTAGTCTGTTGGCGAAGGAAGTGTTATAAAAGAATTTATAATAAAATTTGAAAACTAGAAGCTGAAATTCGATTTACTTACATTCTTCTAATTCTTGTTTAGTTAATTTACGTGGATGTGGTTTTGAAAAAAGCTACAAAGAAAAAAAAAACAATATTTAATAATAAATAAAATTCGATAAAATCTTCTTTTTGTTTTCATTTTTGTACCTGTTTAGGAACTTGTCCAAATTCAAGAATTTGTG